TCCTGAAGCTTCTGCGCTTCTGCCTGGACTGATTTGTTCTCTTCATGCTGGCTATTCTTCATGCAGCTCTTGATGTCAGAACAAACACTCTGGAATAAAACAGATAAGTAGTACTAGTAAAACTATACTTAAAAGAAAGAAAAGGGGGGGGGAAGGGAGGGAAACAGGTTTGAATGTTTTATTGAAAATGTGTAGTTCTACATCTCTAGGGCGAGTTATTGCTTGATGGCTCTCTTCACTTAGAAACCTTAAACAAAGCCAAAAACTTTTATTTATATATATATTATATACTCTCTCTATATAAATACATAAATATTAATTGGCTTTCTTGCTTTTTAGCCAGGAAAAATGAGTTAAAGTGTTAAAAACTCCTGTCTACTTTTCCACAAACTTTTCAGCACATACAGTTCCTAAAGCCTCAAATTCTGCATGTCTAATGTCAAATCAAGGCTGCAACACTGCATACACTCTAAATCCCCTGCTACTTACTTACTATAAACCTGGCTCTTCTATCATTTAACTTTAGTTAATATAAAGCACTTAAGTCTGGGTTCTGGCTACTATTTTTCACTGGCAAAGCAATTGCTATCTGTTGATCAGGATCCCAAAGCACTATTGATAACAAACTTGGGGGAAGTTCTGGGTGCAAAGTGCTGAAGTAGTAGGATTTAAGCAAAAAGGGAATTGAACACTTTTTAGCTGATACTTACACAATAAAAATCACACGTACCATAGGCATTCAGTGACTGGGAAAGGGGACACTCAGAAGATACATGTGGAACTAAACTGTGAGGGGCATAGTACAAATACTACAGAGAGCTGCATCCTTGCCAGGATCTGGGCTCCTAAGAGGCTGCACACAGCAACAGGCATGTGGAAAAGTCACAGTTACCAGCTGAGTCTTTAATCCCATGTCTTATCCTTGGCAAAGACCATTTCCTAAACTTAAAAGCTTGACAATTAACACAGAAAAGGCTCATAGTCAGTGACTTCTACATTCAGAAGACATTTGATAAACCTACCACCTCCTGCATAAACCCTATTCTCTTAAAACTGTAATCACTGGGTTTATTACCAGGACTCTTAAACAGGATACATTTAATTGAACGCAAGCACCCTGGTATCTATTGTTGTATTTATCTTAAATTGTTTCTGCCTGAAAATTTGAATTAAAAAAAAAAAAGTTTTCTTCATTTTTAAACAAAAGTAGTTTTTATTTTCTATGCTGTAGATAATACCAATTCAGAACATTTTATAGGGACGTTTGCACATCAGGGCTGCTTGGCAGATGCAGAACACATGAGGTTAAGAGAAAGTTAGAGAGAGGAAAAAAAAAAAAGGCACACTGCTCCACATGCTCATTTTTTTCCTTCCTTAGCAGAAGGCAAACATCAACATACAGTGGAGAGCCCAGAGGCGGACCAGCAAGATGACAGTGGGCTACAGCACTGGCACCGTCAGCCTTAAGGAATCTGAGGGGAAGATACTACCATGGCCTTCAGCTGGTTTCTTCCCAATACCCTCTCATTAACCAATACAGCAAAAGGAAAAGAGGCACCAAGCAAGTTACAGCAAGAGAACTTCTGATTAGATAGCAGGAGAAATTTTTTCTCCATATAGAGTGGTCAAACACTGGGACAGGATGTTTAGAGAGGTAGTAGGCACTCCAGCCTTGCAGGTACTGTAACAGCTACATACACCTCTAAACAGCCTTACATAATATCAAAGCTGACCCTACTGCAAATCCAAGGCTGAAACCACGTCCTTCCCAAGCCAAATTATTTCCTGGTATCTGCCATGAGATTTTACAAACAAAATTGTTTTTATACAATTTGAATCCAATGCTCTTAGGGCGCAAAGATTTCTTGATTTCAGCATTTACTCCTGAGCAAGTTCTAGAGGTTTCAGAACGCTTTTGCAAGATCTGCATGTAAGGACAGTCACCCTTGGCTCTCTATCCAGTAATCTGCTCTTTCGGAGAGATAAAAACTTCTGGTATTTAATGTAAGAGGGCAATATCACGAGAGGAGAGGCTTAGGACCTACTGTTTACAAGAGATAAAACCATGTGTGATACGAAGTCAAAGAAGGACTGCTAAAGACCAGACCGAAGCTCCTGTACGAACTAAAGATAGAATAGGCAGAAACAATACCAACCAGTGACCTCACTTTGTTTAAATATGGAGAAAGCCATGTACAATTATGATCAGTAACTCCAAATTAATAAAAATAAAAATCTGTCTGAAGAGCCAAGGACTAAGATGGGCTGTTTTCTCAAGAGCCGACATCTTCAGCAACAGCAGACAGCTAAGACGACCTGTTAGCTACTAATAAGAGGCAACGTTGCTGAAGGGACACCTGTGGGATAAGAACAAATGACATAGAGCAATGTCACTGGATCAAGTGCCTCTAACCAAGGAGAATTACTCAAATATTACAGCAGGACAAACATTCAGGGCTCTCTCCCTTTGAATCCAGTGGAGTTTAAGATAACACCTTCATCAAGGATTTGTTTGCACAAGCCACATGCAGCAGATGTGTCCAAAAACATTACAAATGTCCTCTTAAGAAAGTCACTCATCTGAATATTTGATGGTTTGCTCCACCATATTGTCAAAGAAGCTGCCAAATTCTTTTTCATGCAGGTCAAGGCACCAGTAGAGGAGGTAGAGAACACAACTGCTTCAAGAGGACAAAATTATTTCCACACACACAAAAGGAAGCACAAAGGAAACTACCTTGAGCTCATATTCTCTCTAGTAGCTCAAAGAGCTAGCAGAGCAGAACAGAGTCAATATTAATCATTCCTGAGGAGAACATTAACACGCAAGTTAGGGAAGGATCAAATAGTCAAGGAGTATCTCTTGAGTATTCAGTATTACCACAGAAAGCCATAAATCTCTCTTTGGAGATCAGTAATGGCAGTAAGTTACTCAGCTGACATGTTGGATAACACTATCTTCTTTCATCCTCCAAAAGCAATGTTCTGATTATCTGATAAACTTTGACTTGAACTACAACCTTTGAAAAAAATGGATCCTTTTCCAAGTTGTGATCTGAAAAGTCCTTGAGTGCCTCTACCGTGTTGTTGTGTAACAAAAGAAGGAAACTAAATAGAAAGATCATATTCATATTTGCACCTCAATTTCTACCAGTTGTGCTATATTTCTCTGCTGCTTCCTTGTACAAGCTGCAAGTTCACCACAAAATTCATTGCAACTATGCAGAAAGCTTACCTGGTATGAGTGCTAGGAACTACACTGTAAAACAGCAGGCTGGACACGAACTGTATTTCTCCAAAGAACACAAATGCAAGCATCAGAGTTACTCTTATCTGCCTTCTTACAACCAACCAGGAGAAACTCTAATCAAACTCAAGTTAAAGAGACTTAGGCTGAAAGAACTCAAGAGCAAAGATCACTGGGGTTATATTGGGATTAGGCCTTCCCCAAATGTGAGCCAGCAGTTTTCTGAGATGGTTCCACACTTTTGATTCAAAGATATTAAGAAAAAAAATAAATAAAGCCACACAGACACAAAACCTAGATTCATGATCGCATGCTGCAATGGTTAATTACCTTCACTAGGGAAAACATGAGGTCTAAGCAAGAATTTGTAGCCAGATAAATTCAAATGATCTCTCATCAAGATCAAAACATCCCCAATATCCAGTTTTAATCTTGCCAAGAAGATACCTGAAGACGCTCATCGCATCACCCCTCAGTTTTGCTGCTAAACTGCACAGCAATCGTTTAACATTTCATTGCATGGCATCACTTTTAGCTCTTTGATAATTTTAGAGGTTATGCTGCCTTGTTGCCACTATTCCTCTCTCCCAAACACCTTCTAAATGCTGACACCTGCACCTGTGCAGTATTTTGGTAATGACTTCACCCCATACCTCAGAGGTAAAAACACTATCTCTATTCATTCCATTAATGAGTTGGAAAAATAAACAATCAAGTAGGTTGCCACAGCATCACCTTGGAAACTCAGGTTTAAACTGCTTATCCTCTCTAACTCTATAATGCTCTTTAGCCACTGCTTTCTAGGGTGCCATTTGCTATGATGTACTTTCAGTCAAAATCCCTTGCTCCCAGATCTACAGATTTACATTTGGCAGCTGTAACACACAAGTTTAAGGGACTCCATCTCAGAGTCACGATGGCTGCCTTACTCTCCATGTCATGGATCACAATTTTATCATTCAGAAGCTTTGTATCGATAGAGATTTTGCACTCATAAATCACTAATGAAAACAAATTATGACAAGAAAGTACTGGTTGTTGTTTAACATCCCTGAAAATGATTCAGTCTTGCACCCCCATGGACTATTCATGAACCAGTCGACTGGATTTCACACACTAATTTTTATTTCTGTAAAGGTATCTTGCTTAATAATTTGAATTTGATGAAGTCTTTAATATAAAACTAACAAAATCTGGTTTTCTTGAAGCTACATGTAGTGAGGTTAAATACTTTTCTTGTTTATTAAATCCTATACTAAGCCTAACAGGAGAACTAGTATCAGATTAAACTGCACATACATGGAGCAACATCATACAACACTGGTCAAATCCTGAAGATAGCTCAGGTGTTTCTCTCCATACAGCACTACTCTCACCGATTGCCACGTTTGCCCATCTCTAATACTGATACAACAACACTTTTCCCAATTCCTGGAATTTCCCCAGGACTCCAAAGTGTATACGTAAGTACACACTATTATTTCCTTCACTATGGCTAGCAAACTGCCAATAAAAAAGTGTGTGTGTGTGTGTGTGTGTGGGAGCCAAGACAAACATCTCTCCTCCCCCCCAACACAAATAAAGTACTTCTAACATAAACAGGATTTTCAGAAGTTTTCAGTACTACAGTCTAATTCTAAACACCTGTAGAGGGGGTAAGGATTAATATAATATCTAATTAAGCTAAACGATATTCTTCATATAATTAGAAATAGCTACTTTCTCCTCTCTAGCTACTGCGTGGTTACTTTACCTGCTGATGTTTGAGACATACAAGCTCCTAATGATGTTTCATATTAACACAGAGGCGTAATTCATGCTCCAAACACCCTGCATTTTGGGTTCTGTTTTGCTGGAATTTGACAAGCTCAATGGGGTCAACATAGATTTTTAGATTCTAGGGAAAAAGGTAAAATAAGACTTCTTTTCAGTATAAGAACATAGTTCACATGCCTCCAACCTGCTCTACATTTGAGCAGTTTTAGAAACCTCATGGATTTGTTTCTATCGCAAAGAAATAAGATTATGCTGTAAGATGCAAATACAGTTAGCTGACTGACAGGATAAGATGCGTCTGGGCACACTACCCATATTACAGGCTGCAATGAAAACACCTTGCAACAACAACACCTTGCGATTGTGATGAACTGCTACCAGAAGAGTAGCTGTTCACTGCGTTACCCAGTCAGCAAATGCTACCTGATCACTGCACCTCTTGTGCTTGTAATGCTGACCTCTTAATATCTATGACAGGTGACAGAGCATGCTGAAATTCTGAGATGTTTGACAGTGAGAACTGGGATGGCTAAAACTCAAAGGTTCATAAAAATAGAGCTTGTGGGTCTTCTACTCTTCTTTTTACTCTCAGTATTCTTTCATTAACAATAGAAAACAATCAGCTGAGCACTTATTTACTTTTCTATATTACATAACTGGCTAGAGTTAAGTCTGACATGTTTAATCTTTGAGTTATGGACTTATGGGAGAGAAGCTGGGGAAGCAGCAGAACAGCATTTCACACAAAATTAAAACATCGCTCAGTACAAAAAAGCAATATTCCGAGTTACACTCAAAGTGCAGGAAAAACTTTAACTTTTACCAAAGAGTCTGAAAAATATGGGATAGTTTATGAATGGTAAATACCTTTAAACAAACAAACAAAAAACCAAAACAAACAAAAAACGCCACAAAACAAAAAGGAATTTCATGGATCTATGTCTGTCCAGGATCATGCAGCACTGTGGAGCAGGAGAGTTTCAAACTTCATTGAACTGGTTCAACAAAGACTGAACTGGGCACCTGAACAAGAGCCAAACAGATGAACAGAGCTTTAAAGTCAAGCAAACAAGTCAGTGCAGTTGAGTAAACTAATACAAACAAAATAAACCCCGAGTCAGAGCTTTAGTTTCTTTTAGCTGTACTGCAGAAGCCGAGGACTAGCAGCAGTTCAGTGAGTGTACAAATTTGTATGTGCAAATAAAAGCACACACAGCCATAGCAAGGAGGCAGTGTTATGATCTACAGCTCTGCTACTCCCTCAAACATGCCCTCTCTGATGGAAAAGGGCTAACAGAAGCAGGAGTGGCCAGGAAAAGGTGCTGTAATACGAAACTTCTGCAAATACAACCAATGGGTGGAAGAAACGCCAAACTCCACAGTGGAATAGCACCAAAGGCAGAGTTACACCCCCAGCACGTGACTTCTTTGCCCTCTGCGAATTTGACTTCCACCAGGGAGATGCCCTTCCCTTAAAGGCTGGAGATCGCATCCTTCACAAGATCCCAGCTGTTACCTACAGGTATCCCTAGCTGCAGCAAGTTACAAAATATCTCACTAGTCAGCAGGCTCCTGGTTACCCCCAATGCCAGACTGGAGGCCACCCAGGTGGGAAGTGCAGTAGGGGACAAGGCTCATTTTGCAGTGGCTCTGTGTGATGTGCTGTGCCTTGGCAGCCACAACAACTTTGGTCTTGCTTGTTCTCTCCGAACAAATTACAGGTTTGGGGTTTTACCTATAGCTTTTGCCTTGGTTTCAAGTCACTTAAAAGCATTCCAGGCCTCTAATAGTTACATGGCAGGCTCACAGAACAGGTACTGTGCAAATCCTTTAGGTTAAATATCTATATGCCGACAACTGTAAGACAGGAGTCAGAAAAGGTTCTCTCTAGAACCAGAGGGTGCCTATGGACAGGCTTATGCTATCAATACACCAGCACTTATGAACCAGGCTGCTAAGAATCAAAAGAAGCTTAAGCAACCCACCTAAGTCCTAAATAAATAAGAAACCCCTTTATGTAGTTCTCTATGCTGTTCTTGCCCTGATTCCTAGCTGTACTCTCTACATTGTGAGCACCATTAGCTTTTTCTAGATAGCAGGCACGGTCCAAAAGGCATGGCTCCAACTTTTTAGGATCACATGCTTAGAGGAAGTCAACATAGTAGTTAGGATGATGGGAAGCAGCAGCAGGTCACGTACATTAGGACTCCTGACACGTAGGAACTACATTTTCTTCACAAGACAACCCTGCTGAAGTGTCAAAAGATGCTACATATAGAGTGTGCATGGATGAACACACAGGGGACAGACTGCAGTCTGAAATGCCAGTAGATCTTTCTGGAAAGCAAGTCTATATAAACAGTACACACACTTCTCAAATACTTCGAAATAGCTAGAGTACAGAAAACTGTTCAGAAAGAGCAGGAAAGCACTTCAAAAGATCAGAGCCCAGAAAGGTTGCTGCTGCAAGTGAGCTAAGCCTAAACACAAAGCTTGAGGACATGTAGTGGCTCACGTCAAAGCCAGGGAGCTTAATGCTCAACCAGACTGCCAAGAATTCCTATTAAAAATCAGGAGCTCTTGGATCTGAAGTACTGAGGAAAACAGAAAGGAAATTCGAATTCTGGAATAGATTATGCAGAAGAAATTGCATAGTGAGTTACTAACTAGCTACAACTAGAATTTTAGGCAAATACAGAACAAACAAAAACAACATGTCAGTTTGGGGCATTTCCAGTAAAATTACAGTGGTACCATCAGGCAGATAACCAGCTAGGGCCACAAAAATCCAGTAGCCCCACACACAAGCTAGCTGTGGTTCACATGCAAGACACGGCCTGCTAAGACTAAAAGCAGTTCTTGAAATAGCCCTTTCCCTCAATACCACCGTAGGCACGAGCTGCCTGTGAACTTGCACTGCTAGGACAACCCTCCAAGAGCTCCCTGAAATCCTAGAGCCAGTTTTGCCCAGTTCTGGCATATGATCACTCAGAGGGGGAAAGGAACTCACATTTTGACCTTTTACTCGGACATTATTGTTTAAAAACACGCCACAAAGTTTTGCAAGTGTAAATAAAACCACTTCATACATTCTAACAACATTTCTCTGGTATTTTTTTAAGTATAGAACATGGTAAAATTGCATTAGCTCCATACATCCAGGGGAGAAAGTAAAAAAGCAAAAAGTAAAAAGTGAAAGTAAAAATTCTTAATTGGCTTTAGAAGAAACAAAGGTTTGTCTTTATGCTCAGCTTGCTCTTTTCTTCATTCCTAATGATATTTTCTCTTTTAAAGTAAAAGCTTAGGAATGTTTTAAATAAAAACTTTAGCTTGAATACAGTTTGGAGCTGTTTCTTATACGGAGAGTACTTTGGTGAATGGAAAAAGCAGAATAAATTGTAGAATTTGAGAAAAATGGTTACCGACCCCACACGAAAACAAAACACACAGATATTGGAAGAGGCAGATACAGTATTTCAGATATTTTTAGTAACATCTCTGAAGTTTAGCACCAAAGCGTAATAGCCATGGCATGAGGCGCGGAACAGCCACGCAAGAAAAAGATTTAAAAAAAAAAAAAAAAAAAGGAAGTCACAAACAGGAAAGCCAGCTGGTTTTCACCAGCAAGCGAGTCAATCCTAAGGAAGGATCACATTAAACAGGAAAGTATGAGGGAAAACACGGCAAAACCCTGTATCAAAGCGATCCAGGGGTGAATCAGATGCTGGGGGGATGTTTACCGGAGTCAAAAGTTGATGGAAAGAAGGAAAAAGGGGGAGGGAAAAAAAAAAAGGAAAGAAAAAAGGCAAATGGTTTCCCCAGACAACACGTGTGGCCCACTCCTCCGCATCGCAAAAAGGAACTAGGTTGTGTAGCAGCTCCCCGCACTCCCCGCGTTGAGATATAGCATAAAAAATGTATTTAGCAACGCGGGCAAGCGCCGGGACTCCGCAAAAGCGGCTCCTCGGCCGGGCCTGCGAGGCAGCAGCGGGGAAAGCGCTCGAGGAGGCCGCTCTGCAGGGCTGCCGCTCGGGCCGGGCCGTGGCGAGGGACCGACGTCGGGGCCGAGAGCGAGGGGGGGGG